CACATATTATTTGCATAAGTAGGTATACAATAATAATAATTATAATTATTATAATAATAGTAATAGAAAAAATTAAATTTTATTTGGCTTATTGCGAAAGCTCAAACCCTTCACATAGTTATACTGTGTGATTATTTTTAAGTTGTAATCTTCTGATATTTTGTTATTGACTTAGTTTCCCTCCTAGTATTTGGGCTAGTGCTAGTTCTGATACAAGTCTTAGGTACTACAAACGCTCGCGAAAGTACAAATAATAAGTGGACCATACGTACACATTATATTATTCATTTTTATTATATATTTGGACCACCTACGTTTAAGTTGTCAGTCCTAAGTCTGAATGAATTTTCGTGTGGGAACTTACGTAGGGGTGTATTTTTTTGCGTGAGTGAACTTACATATGTACCCGCTTACCTGCTATGTTTCGTGTGGGAATTTACTAAACCCCGCTACCTATGATTATTAAAATGCTTAAATTATATAGCATAAAATTGGTCTAAATATTTTGAAAATTTCATCGTCTCTAAATTAAATAATATTACTTTACTTCTATGCAGGTAATGCAAAAAGGTTTACATTTTTTTTTTTATTAGACAAATTACCAATTTACCCACAAATTATATTGTATTATACATAGATCGAAAAATAAAACATAAAGAGACATTTAAAATGTTTATAAATTTATAGTATATCATGTCTAGAAAATACTTATGTTAATATCTGATGAATGAAGTTAACGGCAGCTTAGGCCATTTGGTATATTTTTGTTTTTTGTTTGTAGGTTTTTGTTGGTTGGGGGGGATACGTGTGTGTTTTTTTTTTGGCAGAATTTTTGATTTGGGCACCCGTAGGTATCTGCCATGCCCGGGTGGGGGATGGCGGCACTTGTTCTCCGGACACCGTGACTTGTCCGAAGAAAAATGCCGCCCATGGCCGAGGTATCGAACCAGCATAGATTACGTCGCAACCGACACCTTAGTCCGCTCGGCCACTCCGTCCCCCAAACTAAGTTATTATTTTTAAGAATAACAACGAAAGAACATAACCCGATTTGCGTAAAAATTTACTTTTTTCTCCATTTGTTATTCGTTTTTCTTTATCATTATAATTGAAAGTATAGTGAATTTTATAATTCTGTATAGTATAATATAGATCCGATTCGCCACCTAAAACCCCTGTTAAATTTCAAGATTGAAGCATTTTTACTTGCCGCCAAAACGCCTAAGTGTATAACAGTATAAGCAAGCGCAATGCGCATTCAAATTATGTCGTCCTAGTGGTCTCGGTCTGTACGTAGATGGCTGATAAATTATGTTATTCTGTAGTTTTTCCTCGTCTTATCCGCGTATATATTATATTATAGTATATTATACGCGAAATGGACGGTCCATGTTCGAACATCTGCAGCACGAATATAATCGCATAATAATACTGTAATATTATACAATATAATAACAGCATTATATCGTAGGACAACTTCGGAGGTGACACGTATACACTATACATATTATACAGACCATACAATAATATTGGTAATATTGCAGTAAACACTAATTTATTATACGACGATGTATATAATTTCGACGGAATCGACGAAACATTTTACACGATGTTTCCGATCGAAACTGCAGTGTCGAGTTCTACAGGAAATCTATCTCCTCCATCACCTACTTATCCTACATGCCTATATCTCTATATCCTACAACTATCGTATACAGTCCACCAGTGCAACATCTATAATGATGATGATGACGATGATAATATTAATGATAATATGGCGTGAACGTGTGATGTGTGAGTGACGGACTTTTTTTTTACGAATCATCTCTCACCCCTTTCGGACGCGATGACAAATTGTTTTGAAACCATGCTGGAAAAACTCCAAAAACAAAATAATTGTTTCATCTCTATAATAATAATATTATCGCAGCGCTTATCATCCCCCGGGATCGACGGTTTCGTATGTCAGTTCACCGACTCTGCCTTACAAAAATTCACGATTTATATTCGTGGAGGTATACACAATAATTATATATTATGATAAACTCACTTTTAGGGATCGTTTATTTATATAATAACCCAATCGTTGTACGAATCGTGTCGTATTATTTGTTGCTATTGACAAATATCATTTATACGCTAATACGAGCCGCCTGATGTTTTGAAACGTTTATTACATAGCGTGCCCTGTTCGTTATAAAGTTTTTTTGGTATTTCTCTATTTTGATATTATTATTACTGTGGGCAAAAAAAAAAAATGGAAAAAAACCAAAAATATAGCAAGATAATATAATGATCGTAATACTATAGAAATGATAATGGTTTAAATCATTTTGGTATGGGTATTTGAACCAAATTCAGAAATATGTTTTTTATGATATTGCAAGTACGTACGCCATTATACAACTAGGCAAATTCGAGTGTATAGCGTTATACGGATTAGACATGAACGTGGAATGATCTACTACCGCTTGCAAAGTATACTGTCAAAAGAAACGAAAGAGAGATTTTGCTAAAAAAAAAAACGCGTTTCAGGTATAGATAAAAAATGACTATAGAGTAAAACAAAAAATGTATGTCACCAGTAAAATTTATGTCTGTACAACAGAATATTATAGGTAGGTAGGTAACATGATTCAGTACCGTTTTCGTCTTGTGAGTTGTGCCTTGTGCGTAAGGTAACATTTTCTTGCATAATAATATATCATACAATATACGAAATTTGTGCCGACACGAGAGTATGCAATATATTGTAAGACATAATAATAATATTATGTGTAACGTGTTGAACGACTACGATTAAAAACCTTCTACTGGAATACTAATATATTTAGAAATAAAAACGCAACAATCTTGTTCAGAAATGAATTTTAAGAGGGTTCATAAATTTATGTTGTTGGCTCCGAATACCAAACAAGGGTGTCCCGTCTAATAATATTCTTAACATCCCCCGGACGATTCGCTTAATTTTTGCCTCGGGTGGCGCAATCCCTGGATATATGTAAGGCGAAGCGCGTGCCGTCGTTTTGACACGTTAAAGTAGACTTACCGAAATTTAAAGCCTAAGTCAACAAACAACAGCAATAATAATAGTATAATAATTGTTATTGTAAGTAGATTAACAAAGTTGGTTTTTGTTTTCAATAAGTAGTGAATATTTTAAGGTTCTCATAACAAAATAAGTAACCGGGGCTATAATATCAGTTATCATGATATACATACCTATAGTGCCTAGATAATTTGATGTACATTCAATTAACTACAAACACATATCAAGTAAAAACAATCTGTTCAAATTAAATGTTCATAACCTTGAAATATAACACTATTATTTTCAAGTATACGAACGTATTAAAACCGTGATCCTAATCGTCTTTAATACGAGTTTAAATATTTAATTAATTTTTTTAAATATTATTATGTTTTATTTTTGAACGATACTGTTGGTGTGTTTTTTATAAATACATTGAATACAATATTTTACTTGGCATAATCCAAATTGTGCATCAATATACAACGGGAGGATGGAAAAAAAATATAACGTTATATTATATTTATTTATTTTTCTCAGGGAATCAAATATAGTAGAAAATATTGTACGTGTGAGTTGAAACGATTGTATCTGTATGAATAGAATCCCGCCTTAAACGGTATACCTACTTTGAACATAATAATAATATAGATTGTTTGTATACGGCGAGATCGTAAAGATGATCGTATTGTCATCGATTTTAATGATAAAAGTGTAAGCATTGTTTGCCTCTCCACTCTGGAAATTCGTTATTATACCGTTCAATGCTAGTGGCAGAATCTTAAATTATAGGTAATTTGATTATTCGGTAACTGACAGTACTTAAAATAGATATTAAAAAAATAACACCCTAAATACTCTTTTTAAATTAACGAACAGAGATTTTTGGAGCTTATACTAACTTACTCTTTTTAGATCTTAGTAAGTATAAATTGTGCATATTATTGAATCCAGATTCATTAACCAAAATTCAAAAACCATAACAATAAAAATATAATAATAAAAAATATAGTCTCGTATTTATTAAAAACAATACCTAACAAAATTAACAACACTGAAAAAAAAATGTATCATATTTAATACTTTTATAAACATTAATTAGTATAAATGTTAATTATTTTCTTTTCAAGAATGTTGTTAAACTAATTGCTTTTTATGTATAGTAAATTAATATAATCGTAATTTGCAGTCCTGCAACTGCTATGATGCAACTACAACAATTTAAATTTATCATCATGATAATGCATATTTATAAACATATAAATTACTAAAAAAATAATCCTATGAAAATTGCATGTCTTTTCTATGAATATCAGGTTTAAAATGCTTTAAATATTACTATCAAAAATTGAATTTTAAAAACTCCAGCCACTGCAATGATGCAACTAAAACAATTTAAATTTATTATCATGATAATGTATATTTTCCCCTATTTCACATTATTATAAATTACTAAAATGATAACCGTATGCAAATTGTACGTCTCTTCTATGAATATCAAGCGTAAAATATTAATATCAAAAATTGAATTCATACTCAAAAGCAACAATTTGTGTTGGTCGAACAATGGGTCGTCGGGTCAATCGATTTTTTTTTTTTATTAAACAAAATAGGCACTTCATGACTAACATTTGCGATGAACTCTCCGTCAAGTCTTAACAAACTTAGCACGATGTCTCATAATAAGTTGTCAGTTAAACCATATAAAAACAACGGTCATGAGACTTGGTATTGTATCATATACTCTGTAGGTAAACGGTTTAATTATAATTATCCATGTCGTAATTATAATACACATTATAGGTATAACGACGTAGATAGGTACTCAATTGTGTTACACAACCTTAATATTTGTGTACGAATCATTGAGATCTTAGACAGAAATTAATAATGTTTACATTTTTTTTTCCTCGGTGTGATTGAATAACCATTAATTTTGTGTATTGTTTTTTTTTATATATTTTGGCAGATAGTGGCGAACTATATCGGAAAAAATCAATCGTTAGAATACGTGTCGGGCATGAGCATCCACTGGGCCGGTGGCAGAACGAGCCCACCACTGGATAAACCAGAATGTGGATTTGACAATTCTCTCTGCGAAAGTAATGATTTTCATTCTTACTTTTAGTCTTTCCGAGGGATATCTCGCACGAAAATAATTGAACGTGTGTTATCCTTACATTCGGGAAAATCATCTTTCGTCAGTATATCGACATAACTTATAACGATTTCTGCTTTATTTTACTTAATACTATATTTATATTTTACCGTTCCAATTTCACATCAGTACGAAACATTCATGATATTTTTATATTTTTATTATTTTTCCCCCTTTTTCTCACTTCAAAACCATTTATAAAGTAATGCACCAAAAAAAGGTTCCATATACCTTTTACTTTGTATATTACTATTACTATTTTATATATTTATTATATTTCTAGATTTACAATATCCCTCTTTTACCAACATATTTATCCTTTATATTGGTTCTTTTCAATTCCAATGCTCTATTCTGAAATTTGATTTTTCTGTCCAAATTTAAATTAATTTCGATTTGGGTTTCAATATAATATGTTTCCGCAAGAATTTATTAAAGTTATATATTATTATTTTATTAGAAATGAGTACAATAATCAGTTGAAATATTTTACATTTTTACCATATAATAAAGTTTAAAAATTTTTTTCATTATTAATATTGTATTTTTTCTAATTACTTCACCACTGTATAAAGCTTCTACAAACTTTTAATTTTAAATGAATTATTAAACTTTTAAATTACTTTTTCATTATCAAACCGTATTCCGTTATAGACTCTTATAGTTGTTAAAATAAGTTATTCTTAAGGATATTTACATATACTAAAAACTAATAAGTAATAATATCATCATACAGGTAACTATAATCGTTGATATTTTATTATATTGTATAATGTATGATTTTAATGTACTATTTATGATCTAGTATTTATTATACTGAAATGTTCAAATCACCATAGTCCCCATATCTTTCAAATCCATTTTTATGAAAATATTATAATTGTTATTTTACAGTAATACACAAAGTTAAATAAGTTAAAACTACTCATTTGAATTTTGATTCTGATACGTCAAAGTAATCAGAAAAAATATTCGCTTTGTAATTTACAATAGAAAAGGGGGTTCTTATTTGAAAAAAAAAGTTTGTATTTCCCCAGGATACTTCTTAAATACTATAAAAATATTCAAGAATTTTAAATATGGCCTTCAGTAAATTTAATAATTCCAAAAATTAGATTTTGAATTACCTACTGCATTATTGTAGACAAAAGGGGGTGAGCATGCTTGGTGAATCACTTTGTTTATAAAATACGTATTTAAATAATTATGCAATACTTGTCATTGCCATTAGAAACAGCAAAGTTAATGTTATGTTAATTAATGTTATTATATATTTTTTTTTAGCAATACCTGGTTATGCGATACTCAGTATAGTCCTCAGTTCAGTTGTAGTGATCCTAGCAATAGCTTCAGCTCTAATATACAGGTAATTTCAAAACAGTTTATTTTTGTATTTATAAGAACAGGCATTTTAATAAAATTCAGCGTACATTAGTTATCATAATTCCTCAATTATTAAAATTTAAAATTCGTTTTATTTGGTCCTATCAAAATTGCTAATAACCGCTATGATTTAGGTACTTCTATGTGTTTATTTAATATAGTTATTTATAGTTCGGTAAAATATTTTCCCGTTGAATATTATTTTCATCGTAGAAACGCTGTAGTTTCCCAAAATGTTTTCATGCTGCGTTTTCCCATCTCATAAAAAAAAAAAAAATGAAAACACTGAAAATACCGGTTAAACGACCTTATATTTTTTTCTTATTCCTTGGCACGTATCCGGCTGCATTATTAATGGTCTAATCAGGATGCCCTTTCGTTGGAATTCGGGTAGGTATTGTATGCGTGCTTTGAATCATCCCGAAGTATGGTTGACTATTATTTTTCATTTTTACTATTTTTCAACAAAAATGATACCAGTTAGACAAGGTAAACTTTAATTTTATATCCAGAAAAGTTTTGCTGTATCTATACATTTTTCATTTTGGTGATGTCCCTGATTTTTTAAAACTGAGATTATATTATATAGTTATGGTTCTTCTTCATTATTTTATTAACGTGTCATTTTATTTTCAACTTACCATAAATTTATTTTTATTGAATGTTCTTTAATTTGAATAATAATGGATATAATTTAAATGTAAATTAGATTGTATTATTGAACATTTTTTTTTTCAAAAGTATAATTATATCATTTTTAATTTTCCGAATTATTTATCCTTTGTTTATAAATTTGATTTATCTAGAATGTTGTTATAATATTATTTGCTCTTAATGAAATTATAGTAAGTAAAATTTAAACTTAAATCAATTCATAAGTGTTAGGAATAAAATAATCGCTTTTGTTGGAGCAGTAGAAATTCGCTCATATATGCATCATACAATATATGTTTATGAAGAGAAGATTGTTAAAAATTCTAAAACTACACGTACTCTACACATAATTATAGGTTATTATTTATTATAATATTAATATATTATATATTAATATAATATAATTCGGTATATTAATTCGTTTTAATTTTTTTTCACCAAATACTTTTTTTATGGGACACTAGTATGCTTATAAAGTAATCTTATTTCTAAATTGTGTGAAAAAATTGTCATTAAAAATTTCAAAGCTGGTACAAATGCACTGATATATAATATGTTTTGTTATCTACTGTTTAGTTATCTGAAAGCAGCTCTAAATATAAAGCTTGAATGTAAACATTAAAATATGTTTTAACTTGCATTATAATATATTTTTTCATAGTTAGTTATGGATATAATAATATATGTTTTATAATTAAGTACACCGGCCATGAATTGTATGGCTTAAAGTATAATTTGCCATCTCAATGTACATATAAAAACAACCAACAGGTAATGTGATTTGGAAAATAATTTCTATGTCCTGTTCATCACTGAAGTTCTTCGTAACTAACAGAATTATAGATTGTTTGGGAAACCAAAAAAAAAAAACTTATTTATTTAATTCAGAGAAATTAATATTTAATATTTTCTTTCCTCGGGTAAATGGTAACAATTTAATGTATTTAGAAAATTATGTAATGGATATTTATAATATAATTAGATAGAAAGCTACCTAATATACTTTATAGTATAAACTTTAACGCGGTATTATGAAAAATAATATTTTACTAAAGTCTAAAACACGGCTTGTACAAAATTATTAATAAAAAAAAAAAATACTTAATAATTGCATATATCTACAACATTTGTATTTAAACAAAAAAAACCCAATCTTACAGTATAATGTATAATTATTTCGTTATATTAAAGCGTTGAAAATTTCAGAAAACTCCAATGAAAGCTTCCTAAATTCGGAGGAAGTTTTAAAGACTTGAATAATTTAACACGGCCGAAGGCCTTTTCAGTTTTCTTCGAGAACCTATATCCTACGCACTTTCTACTGATCGAAAAAAAAAAAAATAAAGAAAAAATTGAAAAAGAAGTTTATTCGACCACACGTCAAGGCACGTCCTATACACTAACTTTTCATTACTAAACATTTATTATTCAGGTAAAGCTCTTATATGGGTTATTTATGTTTACGATACAGTGTCGGAGTTTTTTTTTTAGTTTATATCCGATTATAATTCATTGTACTATTGGTAGTGTGCTTCTGCGAATAGTATCAGATCCCTTTCAACGATATAAATAATTCAGAGTTATCTTTAAATTGTTTATACTAATAATAAAACTTTTTTTTATCATCATTTCTAGGTAAACGGTGTTACAAAATGGGTTATTATTAGGAATAATAGAGTGTTATTATAAATTATAATGGATATTATTGTATTCGGATAGCAATAAGCTGATCAACCCAATTCGAATATTCTAGTAGGTACAAATTGATTATTTTTATAATACAGTAAATGTTTAAGCATTATATTGACTGGTGTTATGTTGGTGGTTTATATGGCATTTTTATATATTGAAGATTTATTGTAATGGTGTCTGATAAATTAATGGTTGTACGAACGTTTTAGTAGTATTGTTGGAATTTATTCTGTCAGTGTTTTAGACCAGTGTTACAGTTAGTGAGGGCCATTTGTGTGTAATTTTACTAAATTCACATCCCATTATATTATATTAAACAATTTTAATTAATGTGTTTTAATGAGTTGACAACGATAAAACGATTTTTAAACAGAAGAATGTTGTCTTACTTATGTTAAATAGTTACTAATTATATTTAGTATATGAATATCCAACAGTTCAATGATCAATTCAGTCAATAAATTATTATTCAGAAATTGGTGTTAAATAGATAAATTATCAAACAAACATTTGTAACTTTCTAAGACAAAAACATTTGAAGTGTTATTTTTGGTAAACAGTAAAACTTTTAGAATAAAAAATCTAAATTGTACTAATTAGTATTAGCTAATAGCTTATACTAATAAATTATACTGCTGTAATAATATTAAGTATCTAAAATTAATTGGATACATTAAACGACCAAATTGAGTAACAAAAATCGTGGACTTATTTTATGCATTTCAATTGTATCAATATCATTTTCATTATGACAAAATATTTCTATAATTGAAAGTTATTATTTTCTTGTAGAGCCATACTATTGGATATTAAACAAAGTATACTGAAATCTTATTAAAATACACACAATCAATATATCATATTATTCAATATCATTATTTATTAAGATATTAAATATTTTATTCTCTAAAAACATTTTTGAATTCCGTTTTGTTCTAAGATTAATATTTAATCTGAATCAATTCCAAAGTCTTTTCAGTGGTTTTTATATATTAAATTCTTACAAATGGTGTTTCAATGTAAAATCGTTGTATCAAATTTACATAAATAATGATAACTTTTATCTAAAAAAAAAAATAATAATAAATAAAGTTGTAACTGTAATGCGGAACAGTGTAAACTTTCATAATTTTATTATCTGACTACCGTTTGGAGTAACAGAGTCAGTGCGTTAATATCATTAGTAAATACGTGTTGGTACGGATCGCATTCATTAATTTTAATTTTTAATTTAAGTAAAAAAATATATTCAACTGAGAATAACCATGGATTGCTTACGAAATGAGTAGACAATAATTAATAATTGTTTGAAATATATAAGTATATTAAGTAGGTATATAATCTTAAAAAAATACATACACTTAAATGTAATAATATTAATGATATATATGGTTTATAGAGTAAAACACTGAGAACCATCGTGACACGAGGTCGGTAAAACTAAAAAAAAATTAACATTTCCTGAATTTTTAAATCGGGATTGCTTTGTAAACGTATTGTTTTATTTTCTCAATATTCAAATAAGCCGAGAATAAGTGTTGTTCTATAGTTTGAGACATTGTGTCGTGAAAATGTGAAATCTTGGTAGGTTAGGTTAACTCCAACGAACGAGGCTAGTTTGAGCATTGAAGGTAATAAAAATGGCTGTTGTAACTTAAACGAGTAATTACTCGTCGAGTGAACGAAAAATAAAGCCAAAACCATTGATTGGTTGTGTCGTATTTAAAAAAAATATATTCAAAAAGTAGTGTGTACTTTTGTTTTAATGGATGTCAAACACAGTGGTCTACTGATATTTCAAATAATAAGTCCAATGACTATATAAGTAACGATATTGTACAAACCTGCAGAAACAAAATATTAACCTTTTACTATCGGATCAGATATTTTGTTCCTTATAATTAATCATGAATTATATTTAAATTGATATTCAAATATTATATACAGATACAATAATATGCAGTTTTTAACTGAATAATATGAAAAAAGAAAATACTATAATATGTTCAAAATAACTGTTTATAAAATTGTATTTTAACTCCATATTAAATGTAGAAAATCAAAAAAAATTATTGATTAAAACATATTGCAGCTGATAATTTAGAAACTTTTAATTAAAATACCGAGTATTGTGAAAACATCTTTAATAATATATTGCAATATATTAAGGACGTAATTTATTGAAATATTTAAATTCTGTTATTTTTTGTCAATGTTTGATGGAAAATAACTGTTTAAATACTTAATAGTTTTCAGTGAAATGATCATGAAGCAAGTAGAGATTTTAAATGCAGAATTCATAAATAGCAGATGTTGTAGCTTGTGAAGAATTATTATTGACAACTAAAAATAGAGTCATGGTATATTGAATATTAGTCAAGCAAATGCGTTTTAATATGATGGTTTTAAGCTTTTAACATTTTGAATGTTGAATCGTTATTATTTTGTTTTGGAATTATTATGACAGACATATTAATTATTTAAACAATTTCATATTAATCTGGGGATCAAATAAATATTGTTAAATCATTTGTATTATTTAATAAATCTGTTTTTTTAAATTGAACGAAAGCAAAATATGTAATTTTCCTAATTGGAAACGATCGGAAAAATCCATAATCTATATACTAACAGAAG